GCTTAGCTCAGAATACTTCAACGGGTACGGATGGAGTCAGGTCATTGACGGCGGGTTCGGAATTGCCTACATGATCAACGAGAACAGGTACGTGACTTGTCTGCTGTCGTCTGCTGCAACGAATACCCCCCAACAATGTGAGAAACAAGCTAATCCGTCCTGTCCGTGTAGCATTAACTTTAACGTTGTCTCCAAGGGCTTAGGCAGCCAGCGCATGAGCTTCTTCCTCAACGAGGCGGCAGGCGAGATGCGCGACCTGCTCATCCCCACCATCAAGCCCGCCAAGGCCAAGCTGTAAATGTGACAGAGAATCCTTTGTAAGAGAGGGGATGAAGGAGGAGTTGTCGTTCGCAATACGGGTGAGAGAAGATAAAGTCCACCAGCGTCCCAATGGCGCTCCATCAGTTGTGTGAGGGTGTGCATGTGTGTTCATATGTGGTTACATGTAGATGATCGGTCGTTCTTTGCATCGATACAGTAGAAGCGTCTCCGGCAACCTGATAGACGTGACCGGTGGTGTCGGCACCACCGCGATCATATTGAAAATTTCCCCCTTCGCAGTCTTTTCGCTTTGAGTCTCTCTACACTATGTCGCCACATCGCTCGAGTAGTAGTATCAAACACATCGTTTCGACAGCTTCTTATTGTCTCCTCCTTCAAACATGCGCTCATCCAGGTTATAGTGCAGTATGCGTAAATGTAATATGGTTGGAATTGGCAAGTTGTAACCGAACAGGTCCAAAATGAAGCAGGCTATGTAAGGTGGAGAACAAAATCTCCCGCCGCCATGTTTACTCCTACAGTTCGGCCCAACTCTGGCCATACCTAGTCTAGTCCCCTTCCTTGTCTACAACTGAGACGGTCGGTCTATCTTAACCTGAGTGAGAGACAATCTCGTTGACGAGTTCGCCCTTGCCCTCATCATAGTAGGAGCAAATCTGCGATGGAAGCGGTACCTCCACATAGTCCTCATCCTCTCCCGAAATGACGTTGAGGTTAATGCCTGAAGACTTGCTCGAGAAGATCTTGGTGTCCGTGCTCTCCTTGCTAAAGTAGACTTGGGCGCCGTCAATCGAGTCCATCAAAACAGCAGGCACAGCCCCCATGACCTGCAATGCGAAGTTCTGAGACTTGATAACGTCCACAGTAGACACAAGGGACTCCACGATCAACGAGAGACGAGTCGAGTTCTCGATAGTAACAGCGTTTGCCTTGCCCTTCACAATAATGGTAGTGTTGCTGCACTTGCTGATCAGAATGGAGTGCGAAATAGACGCCTCGATTTCGATAGGCTGAGGCTCCTTCTCAAAGTTTTCCTGCAAATTACATGTGAGTCAGCCACCTGTGACATACCATTCCAAACATAATAATAGGGGGCTTCCATACAATAGTCCACTTGTTGCCCTCAAGCACCTTCTTTGGCGGTTTCTTGACGCGCATGCTCTCTGGCTTAGGCTTCTTGCCAGGGGCTGGGCTCTTGCCGCGTGCTGATGCCTCTCCATCAACTTTCGAGCTTGTACGAAGGGACGGGTTCTTGTGTGTCATTTCCGATCTGTCGACCTTGCGAAGACCCTTCGTCACAGCCTCGCCTTTGTTGAGTTCAGAGAACACGGCGCCCAACCCACCCTTGCCGCCGGGGGTTTCTTCCTTGATATCCAGCACTGGGGGAGGCCCGGGAGGCGGGGGTGGGGGCGGAAGACCGCCGGCCGGGGGTGGCGGAGGAGGAGCAGCGGCGGAAGCTGCAGACGCGGACAATGATTTAGCAACTTCCTGAGCTGGCTGACCCTTCGGGTTCCAAGGGATGCCGCTAGCGAAGTTTTGCTTGACGTAGTCGGCAAGGTCACGGAAGACTTGGTAAAAGGCGTTCACCCATTCGGTTTGTTGCGCATCCCTATGGAATACCGCATTAGCCACGGGACCTTCAATATCACCTCAGATCATCCACGCAGACATACTTATCCTTTTGTTCCTTCAACACCCTGTTACCAAAGAATTGGGCAGAACCCAACGAATCTTCGACATGCTTGTAAGGGCGGTTGTCGACAGTGACCCAGGCGAGAACCATGATGCCCTCAGCAACAGCGCTCAGCTGGGTGAAAACTGGCGAACCCCGGTTGGACTCTTTGATATTGTTGACAGCTACAAGAGCTTCGTTAATGGGCTTGAGGAGGTCCTGGTAGACAGCCATTTCGGCGCCATTCAGGTCAGGCTTCTTGGCCTTCGTGGTGATGAGCAGGAAGTTGCGCTGGGCTTGGAAACCTTGCAGAACTTTGGCAGCCTACGGAGAACCTAGTCAACATCCAAAGAACTGACGATTCGCACATGTGTATCAATGACTGACCTGGTCAGCAACAAGACCTCCAAGCTGCTGACTGGTTTTGACATATTTCTCGACCGATGTGGCAATAAATTGGTCGAACTCCTCAATAGACTCTGGAACTGGCTCCGGGGGGGCTTGAGGGGCGGCGGGGGCTTGCGGCGGCGGAGGAGGGGCCGAGGCATTGGAATCGGCAGGCGGCGAGGCAACGGATTGATTGAGAGCGGGAACTGCTTGGGGAAGCTCGATGGTAGAGGTGGCGATATCTTCGAGCCTAGCCGTAGCAGCTTCGAGCCTTGTTTAGAGGTTAGCTGCGAGTGTGCTGACAGGGGGTGCCATAATAGGAGCAACAGCGAGCTGAAGCCCGTTAATGTTGCCGTAGAGCTGGATGCAAAGCAGTCCAGGCTCATAGGATTTCAGTCGACGTACCGCTTGATGAGGGTGGTGAGGTTATGCATGTTGTTTGTTGCCATGTTGGGCAGAGGAGGGGAGCCGAAGCTTGTTGCAAGGAGAAGGTCGACAGGAGAGATTATAGGACGGCGGCGATGGGCCGGGGGTAAGCACTGACGAACAGAGACGGTGTGACGAAGTGTGTCAGAGGACGGAGATCGGTAGCGGAAGACGCGGCGGATATGCAATGGCAAGAACAATACCGACAATGACAGCGAGGGCAATAGCAGGGTGGGCTGTTGCAACACGCAGTGAGCTCAATGCAACCGAAGCCTCGTGCAGGATGTCTGTCGGAACAGCTCAACACTGCAAAGCAACTATTGCAAGGTTGATTGGGGGAGAGCCAAAAGATTGGGCGTGAAGTTTCAGCTAGTGCGGAGCTGCTAGGATGGGCGAAATGCAACTGCAAAAAGCAATGGGTCGGCTGCCGCTGAAGATGTTATAATTGAGCAGAGAGCTACGAGGTTGGCGGACGAGGTGTTTTGAATGGGTATTATCGCAAGCATCCAATATCATGCCAGACAATGGGGGGAGGACAGACGCGCCAGTACGTATCTTTGTTTTAGAGACACTGTACCTCTGGTGGAGGAAGCTCAGGCACCTCACTGATTGTGCTTGGGGTCCCAGGACAAGGTACCTCGGGTGCCTTCCATCCCACGCTGGGTAGGTACCTACCGCGCCGTCCGAAGCTGATGGGTGCCTTGCGCTTTTTAGATGCCTTGAATCTCGTGCCTAAGGCATTTCCTACATCTATTCAGGCACCCGGCCCAAAGCCTATCTAACTATTCCCATGTTGAGCTTGGCTAACCAAGCTTGCGTAAGACATCTCAAAGAGCAACCTCTAATGTGGAAGACATATTGTGAACCAAGATTAGGTGTCTGCTGAAGCCTTAGATCGATCACACATCTCCTGCGCATGGGATTCCTCTCGTTCATCTGCTCGTTTTCGCTGATACAGCGCAATCTGCACTTGCATGCGACGAGATGACGGTGGTCAGCATGCTAGGCAACTTCGAAAAGGCCTTTTAATTCAGACGCAGCTTGCTCTTCAGCTCGTGTACTCCGGGCGTACGTATGGTCTGGTAGGCAGTCGCCAAAGTCAACACTTAGTCCGTGAAACCAAAGCCAAGAAGCCGCTCTTGATGACGATAGCTGAGCAAAGTCGTTCAGCGACAGAAAGGGTCACTTGAAATCACGACCAGCCTTCCAAATTTGGTATCCGTACGTCGTCAAGCCAAGGCAGCATATATGGGCAGCTAAACATGTAAAGATGGAGGTGAGATCCAGGCCGTTAGTAATATGCGATCCCTTTGGATTGCTCGCCTCATCTCAACCTCAAAATTCCTCTTGCAATGGACTTAGACCGACTAGCCAACTTCATCCAGAACTCCCCTGTCACCTTGTAACTCTCGAACTTGGCTGGTAACAACTTGCAACGCAGTTTGGCTGTCAGTCACGCCATGTGTGCCGAGGACGGAGCCCGGGCCCATAATGGGCTGCCCCTCTTGGCTCAAATGAGTTGAGCGAGGTAAGATAGGCTTCTAGAAGCTCTCCCGTTCTACCACAGGCGCCCTGCCACGTGCCGGCCCAATGTGTGGTTATGTGTGCCGCCTTATCTGCAGGATTTCAAATGAGATCATTCCAGGTACCAAAAATTCATAGACGACGGCGTTCTCTAGTGTACGGGTCGAAATTGCAACTGATTGCAGTGGGTGGGGTAAATTAGAAGAGAAGATAGATATTAGCGCTGCTATCCAACTGTTTGTCGTAAATCTTGAGGCTCACTCTAGCTGCCATTCTACAATTCGGTTTGCGACTCCAATTTGCACCTGTATCGTCTGCAACCCTTTCACCTCACCTCTCGTAAAGCACATATTAGCCTGTCAGAGCCACCTCGCTTCGTCCGTGCTTGCATTGTGCATTCTCGCCGACACTGATGCGACCAATAACCCATAGCACACAGCAAAGTGGGTGTAACCTAGTTTCAAAAACCCTTCACTTTCCAAATTCGCATTCAAAATTACCTGTCCTACTACGACATTTCGGCTGGCTCCAAGAATACTACTCGATTCTCTAATTGTTACCTTCACACAACAGTGGCCACTGTCGCGTAGCAGAGTACTTCAGTCAACAAGCAAAATCTCGTTTGACCAAGTTCGAGGCTTCACGCCACCCAACGCGTGCTTGGCATTGATCTGCCATTTCAAGAACTCTTTTCATTGTGAAGCTGACCATGGCCGAAGACGAGTCACAATCGCCGAAAAAGCAGCGTCTCACTGACGAAGAAGTCAAGGCATTGCCTGCCATTGACTTTGTGACGTTGGGAATGTTCATCATAGGTGAGTCAACCTCTCTCCACGGGTGTCCATCTCTACGAATACAACATCAGCCCGCTGCGCCCCTTCACTGCACGGATCCCAGCTGACAATGACTAGATGAGATACACTTCTTGCCGCCTACGCCATCCGTCTTTGATATTCTCGGCGGTGCTGGCTCATACGGTGCTCTCGGAGCCCGTCTCTTCTCGCCGGCCCCGGATGCCTCATCGGTCGGTTGGATTGTGGACAAGGGTTCCGACTTTCCACAATCCTTGACTGACCTCATCAACAGCTGGGAAACATCAGTCGTGTTCCGTGAGGACCCAGAGCGGCTGACCACCCGCGGATGGAATGGATACGAGAACGCAGAGAAGCGCGCCTTCAAGTACACCACCCCCAAGAAGCGCCTGACTGCAGGGGACCTGACGCCTCACCTGTTACTATCCAAGACCTTCCACCTGATCTGCTCCCCGGCCAGATGCAGAGACTTGGTGTCCGAAATCACCTCAGCCCGCAAACGTGTGTGCCCGCCAGATTGGTACATAAAACCGATATTCATCTGGGAACCTGTACCTGACCTGTGTACACCGGACGAACTTCTCAATTGTACAAATTGCCTTCCCCTGATCGATATCCTCAGTCCGAACCACTCGGAGCTGGCAGGTTTCATGGGTGACGACGGCTTGGACCCAGCCACGGGAGAGATTTCGAAAGCAGCAGTAGAGAGATCTTGCGAGCAACTTCTCGCGAGTATGCCTCTGTCGTCCTTCACGCTCGTCATCCGCGCCGGGGAAAAGGGCTGCTATGTTGCTCGCAACGGCGGCCGCAAACGCCATCCCGCTACTGGCGACGAGGCTGGCCCGAAGCGTCGCAAGAAGGATTATACGAGGGGCGGCCTTCAGCCGGATACCGATATGGAAGCACTCTTCGCCGGCTTGCTTCAGGACGACGAAGGTGCTGTTGTTCGCGAGGAGATCGAGGTAGACTCTGGTACCGAACAGTGGATCCCAGCCGTTCACCAGGACAGCGCGAAAGTGGTAGATCCAACAGGTGGCGGCAATACCTTCCTGGGTGGCCTCGCTGTTGCTCTTGCAAGGGGTAAGAGCGTCGAAGAAGCTGCAGTATGGGGCAGTGTTGCCGCCAGCTTTGCTATAGAGCAAGTTGGCGTACCGACTTTAGCCAAGAACGAGGAGGGCGAGGAGACATGGAACGGCGAAAAGGTAGAAGACCGGGTTGCAGAATTCCGAGCCCGTCTGCAAATAACGCAGTAAAGTCCATAGCAAATGCTATGTCTGAGGTGATACATATAGAAATGGGTAGACGAATAATGGCAAAAATTAATGTAAAGTGCGACTCGTTAGATCTGGCGCCTTCAAACCACTGCGCAAGAACCACAATAATCGATTTTCTATTCGTTACATAGCAAGGTCTCTCAGGGACGCCGCCTCCCCGTCATAATACCAACGCCAGATGTCATGTCACAAACAATCCCACATCATGCCAACGGGTCTTAGATCTTGTACACAAGCTCTCCATCGGTATACCTATTTCTCGATTAGTCACGTAAGAATAGAAGATTAGAGATCAGGCAAGGGAACGTACATAATCTGATTGGCTTCATCCATTTTCTTGAGAGCTTTGACGGCCTCTTCCTTGCTGAAGGCACTACCGCTGCGCGATTGCAACTTAGTGTTCACGGCTTCAAGAACAGCATTGACATTGGCAGAATCGTCGTCGAACAAGGCTGAGTTGAGTAGCTGTCCTAGGGCGCTTCTGAACACAGTCAATCGCTGGGGGCTGATGGGTTCGTCAGCAATGGCGAGGCCAGCTGCTCCCGATGCCAGCTCGTCATCATCCTCGCCAGTGTCTTGGGACTGAGAAGGCAGCTGAGAAGCAGGCATGGATGATGCAAACGATGTTTGCGTGTGCGGTGCCACACTTGAAGAAGCCGCGCCATCACCGCGACGACGGGATCTCCGCGGCGTCGCCTCGTAGATATCCTCTTCTGCTTCTTCCACTGCATCAGGCTCAGCAGGGGTATCCGCGTCGCTTTCAGGGGCATCTTCGTTGGCGCTGCTGGCACCAGCAGCGGTTCGCCGAGGTCGGGCAACGCCTCGCGTCGACCGCGAGGATCTTTGGACGGGTGTCCGTGTTGTTGTCTTCTTGAAGTTTCCATCGTCACCATCGTCATCGGACGAGCTTTCCTCGCTTGAGGACGCAAAATCGGTAGTCTGAGTTTTCCTGCGTTTCTTTCTCGACTCGTCCTCGACCACCTCCTTGAACAGTGCAAAACGGAGGATCGCCTCGGCCGCAAGGGCATCGCGCTCGTCTACTCGATTAGATAGTCGGGACTTGGCGTGGGCGGTCGCCAAACGAATCAGAGTTTCCAAAGTACGGACGGTCAGAGGACTGGTTCTGCGCTGGTTACCCTCCATCTCATCGTTTCGGAGGCCAACATAAATGTCAGAGATGCGATCTGATGCAGCCTGAGTCAAGACAGGTCGGATTCTGGTCTTGGCATATTGGATGTATTTCTTCATGAAAGGAATGCTGAGCACCTCGGGCTTCTTGTTCGCGCCGCGTCCAGTGGTAAGAGTGACGCCAGCGTGTAGCATCGCATCGAACTTCTCGTACACATCGGTCGGGCGTTGGGTATCGGCTTGATTGTTGATGGCAACGCCGAGGGCTTGGCCGGCGTTCTCACGCACCGGTGCGCCCTCTTCTGTCCCGGGTTGACGGTAACGGTGCATGCGCAGAACGTGCTCCGACACCTGCCGATCCCGAGTATCCTCGATATCATCAGTAACGACGAACAACAGATCGAAACGAGACAGGAGGGAGTCTGGTAGGGCGATGTTCTTGTGAGGATCCTTGTGGGTGTCGTATTGGCCAAAAATGGGGTTAGCAGCAGCAACAACGCTGCACCTGGCGTTGAGCGAAGTGTGGATTCCAGCCTTGGCGATTGTAACAGTTTGCTGTTCCATGACTTCGTGAATTGCGACACGGTCAATATCGGACATTTTGTCGAACTCATCAATGCATACCACACCACGATCAGCCATGACCATAGCTCCCGCTTCGAGTCTCCGCTCACCCGTCTCCTTATCCGAAGTTACAGCGGCTGTCAGACCGACACCTGACGAACCTCGACCGGTAGTAGCGATTGCTAGTGGCGCCGTGTTGAGAACGAATCGAAGAAGCTGGGACTTGGCCGTGGAGGGATCTCCCACCATGAGGATGTTGATGTCACCTCTCAAATGAGTCCCATTCTCCAAATTCTTCTCCATGCCACCAAGCAGCATCAGAAGAATTGCCTTCTTGATGTACGCGTGACCATAAATACTGGGCGCGAGTGACTGGGAGAGAAGGTCGAGAAGATTCTTCTTCTTTGCCACTTTGTTGATGTTTCGAATATCCGTGTCGGTTATAGTGGCAGTGGCCACACCACCGCCCGATTTCGATGACAGGAGAAGAATGTGGTTGGCGATGATAACCGTCTTGAATAAGGCGCTATTATGGTTCGTGTTTCTGTTTCCGAGGGTTCTGTAGATGCCGACGAGTTGCACGCGGTCGCCGGGCTTGACCTTATCGACGAGATCGTCATCGAGAATCACGTCCACCCCCCGGGGGAGTTGTCCCGCCGGGGCCCGCTCGGGCATTTCCTGGATAGAAACGGTCTGGTGATCTCTATACGTGCTGAAGCCGTATTCGGTAGTAAGCGGGTTGCCTTCGTCGTCCTCTTGAGGGTAGGCGCTCGATGTGGTGACGCCGTTGGTCATGGTCTGGTCTTGGTACTCCCGGAAGTGGAAGACATCCTTGTTTTCATTGTAATGCACACTCTTGACAACCTTGGGTCGGATCAGCGAGCATCTAGTCACAATGCCTTCGAGGGACACCATGCTGTTTAGGTGCTGGGAGGACAGTGTGCGAGGGTTGCAGGCATTCATGCCAAAGCTACCAGCCCATGCGCAGTAGTAGGAGATCTCGTTCAACTTTTCCGCATCGCCGGACTGGGGCAGTGTTTTGACGATTTGTTTCAAGGCATGGTTGAAGGCAAGACTATAGTCGAATGGGTCTTGAAGAACTCCGGAGGCAAGTTCGGCATTGTGGACACGTAGTTGGTCAAGGTTGACGACAAGTCTTCTCTGCTGCTTTTGCAACATCAAGATGATGGCTGATCGGTAGCTTCGTCCTTGGGAATCATTTTCTGTGGTTATAACAGGTCAGTGTGCAACATTCAGAGGCGCAAAGACATGTACGGAGATGCGAAAGCAGACGTACGGGGATCGAGGAACTCTTGGGCTGCGCGCACACGGTCTAAGGCGGCTGCATCTTGCAGCATGAACGAATCCATGACAGCAATTGTCGTCAGAGTCGGCACTTGATTGAACGGGGAGAAAAGGGTATCAAAGGCGTCGATTTGCGAAAGCAGCTGATAACATGAGGTACAAGGGAGGCTGCAGAAGCGTCAATACTGGAGTGTCGGGGGGGGGAGGGGGAATTGTGATCCGCCGCAGAAAGTGTGAGCGGGCAACAAGGAAAAAAAGGAGGGGACCAACTCCCATCCAAAAACGCGAAGCGACGCGCCTCAAGGTTGAACGCGTAAAGTGGTTTTGGTTTGGCGAGGCAACCGTGGCTTGCCCCTGGAGGCATGTGGCTGATGTCCATTCTCCAACTGCCTATTATTGGCTGTCTTAGGTATGTATGTACGTACCCCGTGCCAGGCTCCCCACTTCATTTCATTACCTAAGGTACCTTATCAACCCGTTACACTTCAACGCAAACTGTCACCATGTCAGCCCCAACCCCGGCCATGGATTCGCCGATGGATGCTATTGTTGAATCCTGTTGTTGAAGATAAGCCGAGAATGATCCGTCGCACGCTCAGCTCGCATTTAGATGGACGTATTCACAGCAGGTCACTCAACCTTTTCCTACCCCCGCGTCCCTTCAGAGTTCGAGAATTTGGCCTTCTTCCCACGACACGACGGTTGGACCCAAAATGCAGTTCTCTGTTGCGGCACCTCCACGTTTCCCGGCCACAGCCAATCTACCCTGTCTCCAGTACGCCACCATCGTCGTTGTTCAACTAATACCTCTTGCGGGCGATCATCCCGGCAACTAGGCTGTCTCTACCGTCAGGGCGATATCAGCTCACCCTTCGCATTTTACGCTATACACATTTCCGACCACTCCAGATGCCTAGAATATCTCGGTTTCTTACATACCCTGTCCACGGGAGGCCGATAACACCCGTGTCACTGCCGTGCCTTCATTGCACATGACACGTTACCTCGAAAATGTGCTTTGCTGAGCAAAACTACGCGCCCTTGTTGCAGGATTGGACTTACCATTTTCAATGACAGTCGGCTGAAGGGACGCCCGCCGAATCGTGGAATAATCACAGACTTGCCTACCAAATAATCTCAGCCACGTACCCAGGACCCGACAGTCTGGGCCGCCCTGGCAAGTCAGGCTCCCACAGGCTTCGTGCAGATACGAAGTAGAATGTCTGGTGCCCACTTATGTCAACGTTGTTTAATACAACGTCTGCTGTCAAACGTTGGTCATCCGCTTGGTGGACATCGAGCTCATAAACTAAATCTTTACCATATCGACTGAGCGTCCGAATAATGGAATTCCTTGGGACTCTTCTCTTATCCCCCGGTAAGCACGTGTCCATTTATAGCCGATCGGCAACGATGGGACAAGGGAGGTGCCTACTGTCTCGTACCTCGCTGAGCTGTTCGTCGCCGAAGACGGCACTAGGCGGATAGCGCGCGATACTTCGCCGACAAGGGTTGCAACTTGCAAGTCCAGCCAGTGACCTCTGTAAAGGATGTCTTCCTCCATTGCTAGCCTCAAGTTCGGGCTTCATCTCAGTGGTGACGAGTCACATCGGCCGACCCTTGTCACTTTCAACTGGCTCTGTATGCATACAGGGGTAGAATGAGAAAATGAAAATTCAAGGGGGTCCGTCATCGTCGGGTGAGACGAGGGTGTAGAGATATCGTCGGTGCGGTTACCTCGTACGTGAAGTACACAATGCAACGACGCCCTTGCAGTTAGTTCCCGGCTATCTGTACACATATTCACCGGGTGGAAACTTCTCGCAGCGAGAATGTCGATGGTCCCATACTAACTAATCTAGGAAACGGGATAGTGACACCGAAATGACCGGCCCGAAAGCATGTCGGCATCCCGATGAAGGGTGACACGGCATCGGAACGATCCGACATTGTCACTAGCTGCTCCACCTTCGCGGGCTCTCTCGGCGGATACTCGCAGCTTGCGAAGATACTAGGAAAACCCACAGACTTATCGATGGGCAAGAATATTCAGAACGCCGTTGAGCTGGTTCACAAAGAGATCTTCTTGCATCTTCTGTTCTATATGAAGGGCTGGGCTAATACCAGAGGCGTCATCCGATGCACGTCGGTCCGCGGCTATCCGTTTTCGTACTGAAGCGGCATGGCGCACAGAGAGAGAGAGAGAGAGAGAGAGAGAGAGCACCGTTGGGCAAGCCGATGGTGTGCCTCCGTCTCGTCGGGGGCGGAGCACCATGCTCACGACCGGGTACAGATCAAGCTATCACGGCTCGCTTGGCCGGGGTGGTTCTCCAAGTTGTATCGCTCAGCTACTCCGAACTCTATTCTCCATGTCCACGCCCCCTCTCCACACCACGGTGGATGCGCCAATGCGTCCCCTCCTCCCACGATGGGTCTTGGTACGCTACCTCGGACCCTAGTACAGAAAGGCGGATTCATTCCTAGGTTCGGCTTGCCGATATCTTACACATTATTAATTGCAGGTAGTGAAGCATCTGTGAAGAGGAGCTTCATGAGATGGGATATGAATAGTATTAAAGGCTCGACACGAACGTTGGTCTACCTGTGCTGTCTTCTGCTTACACCGCTCTATTCCCTTCACAATCCAGACCTTGCTTACGGACCCCAACCAATACGCCGCGCCTCAACGTATAGCTTGCCTCACTCACAATGGTCCTCAAACCCCTTGATACTGTAGAGTTTACTGATGCGAGCCACTCGCCAGTGCTCCATCGAGATCTACGGGGTCAATTTGCACGCATTGTTGGCGGTGAAGGTCATCACTATGTGGTAGAAGGCGGCAGGAAACTTTTTGACGCCTCTGGAGGCGCTGCCGTCGCTTGTATCGGCCATGGTGACAAGAGAGTGGCAGACGCCATGGTGAGGCAGATCAACAGCATCGCATATAGCCCTTCGACATTCTTCACAACCCCCACCTGCGAGAAACTGTGCCAGTTTCTCGTCGATTCGACCGGCGGCCAGATGTCACGAGCTTACCTAGTCAGCAGTGGTATGTCAGATCAACTCTATCAGTACCGATTGATTGCTAATACTATCAGGATCCGAGGCTATGGAGGCAGCAATGAAGCTCGCAAGGCAGTTCTTCCTGGAGAAGGATACGCCAGAACCCCAGAGGCATCTATTTATCGCTCGAGAAAGGTCTTACCATGGAACAACTCTCGGCGCACTCTCTATGGGCGGTCACGTTTCTCGCCGAGCCAAATTTACGCCGATGCTCCTCGACAATATCGTTTCTCATGTGTCCCCATGTTACGAGTACAGGGGCAAAGCGCCTGCGGAATCAGATGACTCATATGTTACCCGTCTTGCCCAGGAGCTTGACGATGAGTTTACCCGGGTAGGACCCGGGAACGTGTGCGCTTTTGTGGCAGAACCAGTTGTTGGAGCTGTAAGACGATTCTCCAAAGAAGCGCAAAGCAGCATCAGTCCTGATGCGATCGACTGACTTTTCTACATAGGCTCTGGGTTGTGTCCCATCCGTGAGCGGCTATTTCCAGGCTGTCAAGGCAGTTTGCGATCGACATGGTGCCCTTCTTATTATGGATGAGGTCATGAGCGGCATGGGCCGCTCTGGGACTCTTCATGCTTGGGAAGGTGAAGGGGTTGTACCCGATATCCAGACTATTGGCAAGGGTCTAGCCGGGGGTTACCAACCGATTGCCGGCGTCCTAGTCAACAAGGGAGTAGCTGATGTGTTGGAGAGAGGTTCCAGGTGAGTTCCATGAGGTGGTGTCTGGGAGCGTCTCGATGGCGAAGGGGGCCACACTGACGCGGTACAGTTGTTTCGTTCATGGGCACACATATCAAGGTCACCCTATTGCGTGCGCGGCAGCACTCGAAGTACAGCATATCATTGAGTCAGATGGTCTACTAGCCAACGTACGAGCCATGGGTCAGTTGCTTTCAGAGCTCTTGAGGGAGCGCCTCAGAGACGAACCTTACGTGGGCGACATCCGCGGCAAGGGACTCTTTTGGGGCATCGAGTTCGTGCGGGATAAGGTGAGCAAGGAACCTTGGCCCAGAGAAGCACAGGTGGCAACGGAGATGAGCGATCTTGGGCGCACCGAGGAATACGGCATTGTGGTTTACCCTGGTGCGGGAAGCATGGACGGCGTTCTAGGTGATCACATCATTGTGGCGCCGCCGTATACTGTGACAAGGAACGACGTTGAGTTCATTGCCGAGACGGTGGTGAAGCTAATTAAGGGATATTTCGCAAGACTGGAGCAATCTGGGTCAGCTATTTGATTGACTCGATTGTCACTGCTGCTACGGATTCTGCATCTCATGTGTACTCTGAGAGAGCAGGAAGGAGAGACTCCTTTGGCAACGTATGATACACCGGGTACTAAATGATAATATAGAGGAATTTGGTGGAATGATTGAAATTGCAACGCCGATTACGAGAGAACTTGATGTGAAATAAGCTGCGATGCGTGGTGATCTCGTTGACCTTCTTTCGAATTAAAGAGGTAAAATGAAGTACGGATACGCAATAAGGTATTGGGACTTGGGAGGCATGAAAGGGCTGTGATCCAAACATCGGATGACATAATCCATCCCAACTGTTCATCCAACCCCCAGGTTCCTGAACTTACTTGCCCTCAACACACAGGCGACAGCACAGCAGAACCACACGTTCCTCATCCGATCAGGTTGGGCGCATCCGAGTGCGCCTGACACAGCCAGAACCCGCAAAAGTACAACGCGCCTCCCCTTTACCGTCCCACTCCCGTCCGTACCAAGCTCTCGCTCCGCACGTCCAGCCGTCTGCCACTGTCCCTACCCTCCAAGACCACTCGACCACTTCCGAGCCAGCCATCTCACGATTTCGTGGGTGATCTTTCCTCAGGCACGCGAAGTAGAACACCGGCGGCACGGCGGCACGATATTGCAACTTCGGCAATCATTATCTCGTCCGGTTCTCGACCTCCCACGAACCCCACAACGCTTGACGACGGTCCGTCGTGCGCTTCGACGCCCTGCGGTCTCCAATTTCGACACTCCTTGCTTCACCCCCACGGCCGCAACTTGCAAGCGGTATAGCAGTATCGGCCGATAGGACGCACACGATGTCTGTCGGGCCGGCGACTAGTCGCCATGCCGACGAAGAAGCTCGTGCAGAGGTCGATGTGCTCAACTCGCGACTCGAGAAGACGGCTCAATTGACCAAGAAGATTCAAGCATGCATGGGAAGGTTGGAGTCCACCGGCAAGAGCGTCAAAGAAGTAGCAGGTCCTCTCAGTGGAGAAACGAAGAAGCTTCAGGTCTTGGGCAACAGTATGTCTATTCTCGCGCATGCATAACAAGGCTTCAGCTGACATTGACTCCCTCGCTCACAGATATCGATTCTGTCCTCGCAGCCATCGAACGTCTCCGTCAACCCGCCGATAGTAAGAATGACGAAGAACAGATCATACGTGCCGGCCCGGACAAGGCTGGTCTTTCCAACTACCTCGCCTCGATCAAGCGCCTTTCCAAGTCACTTGAAAACATGCAGGCCTCCAACCTCAGGGCGAATCAACAGACAATGGCTGAGCTAGTCCGCTTAATCAAGTCAGGCAACTCTCAGCTTGAGGGCCATTTCGACAGACTGCTGCGAGGAGAAACCCCACGATCGATCGAGCCGCTACATTACATCACCAAAGATATGCCATTCCCCGTACTGTCTCAAGACAAGGTGACACGCCTCGGCCTAGTCAACTCGTATATCTCAAGCACCCATCGCCAGAACGCTGGTGCTGCTACTACACCGCAAGACTCGACCATTGCCAAGATCTACGCTGAAGTACGCGGGCCCTATCTTTCCTCTACCTTGGCCAACCTGGCTGCTGCCAGCGTCAACACGACGAAGAAGAAAAACCCCGATGCCATCTACCGCGCAGGCACCAATGGCATCGGTACATATGCGCAGGCCATGGAAGGCGTGTTTTTGGCCGAGTACGACAACATTTGCAGCATCTTTACCCGCGAAGATTGGGGTCCCCTTTTCCAAGCCACGTGCCAGAGCGCTATGGCCGAACTTGCACGTACTCTTCGCGAACTGAACAACCATATCAAGGGACATTTAGACACAGACTGTTACCTCGCCTACGAGATCACGGAGATCATGTCTGGTCTCTCAAGCAACCTGGAGACACGTACAGGCGAGCTCAAGTCTTCACTTGCCTCAGCCCTTAGGCCTGTACGGGAGACTGCTAAGCTTTCATTGGGAGAGCTGTTGGATGACACGAAACGAAAGATTGCTGCCATGCAAACACTTCCACAAGACGGTGCACCGATACCTATTGTATCGGCGACAATGCAGCGACTCCAGACCATGGTTGAATTCCTGCGGCCCGTCTCCAGTATAATGTTCTCTCTAGGCGACGGGGGATGGAGATCAAATGCTGCAGCCGATGGACGATTGACAGACGCAATCCCCAGTCTTGCTTCATTTGATATTGGTGCAGACGGAAAAGAAATCTTTTCGCACTACTGCTCAGACACAGTCGAAATGCTCATGGCAGGACTGGACTCAAAGGCCAAGATGGTTCTCAAGGGTGGCCGAGCTGTCATCGGCGTCTTCCTAGCCAACAGTGTTGTCATCATTGAGCGAATGATTCGCGATTCTGACCTTGCGCCACTCCTTGAGGGTCGGATGAGCATGCTAGACCAATGGCGCAAGAAAGCAACAGGCATGTACACGATGGATTGCAAAGAGGTCTCAACACACTTGTTTGATGTCATCCACACTAGCAAAGCAAGACCCCAGTCCGGACAGGCTGATTCCGCCTCAATTCTCAAGGGCCTTAGCAGCAAGGACAAGGATAACATCAAGAGCAAGTTCCAGGCATTCAATGCCTCCTTTGATGAGATGGTGAGCCGGCACAAGACGTACAACATGGAAAGGGAGGTGCGCCAGATGCTTGCAAGAGATATTCAGCAGATGCTCGAACCCCTTTATAACCGGTTCTGGGACCGTTACCACGAGGTTGACAAGGGGAAGGGCAAGTATGTTAAATACGACAAGTCTGCGATTGCTGCTGTCTTCATGACGCTCTATTGAGAGGGACCTTGTGTACGCACACATCTCACCCGACTGAGTTGTTCACGGTTGGGATTTCTGGTTGGTTCCTCAGCCATTTGTTTATTTAGCATTGTTCTGGAACTTGGGCGGGGAGTTTCGGTGGCGAATACCAAGCCATGGATTGGCAATGCTTTTTGTTCATTCAAAACATTATGTTGCATCTCATTCCTCGTTCTGAAGATGTTGATCGGAGCCGTCATGATATTAACATGCCGAACTATCGACGCACAATGTGAAGGCACACAGCTTCAAGGGGAACACGAGAGGTCTTGACAAGCATGTTCATTTTGGTCCCAAGGCAACCTTGACTGACGGTGTAACTATCTACGATAAGGGACTACACTGCTTAGGGAGCACTCTCTCCATATGTTGACAAACTTGGCCACCGGCTTCATCACAAGCCTATGCGCCAAACTCAAGTCTTCTTAAAGAGCAAATCGATGCGCTCTGACCTATGCCACACAATCACCCCATTGCTACCGCGTTTGAACCACAAGATTCGGTGCTGAGGGATGAACTCCTCGTGCGTCTGCTCGCTCTTCCAGGCCGACAGGGCTTTCTCCTGTGGTCCCAGGAATCTGTCCTCGTACCCGATGATGTAGTCATTACCGTCAATATCGGGATCCCATCGCAGTCGGTTCAGCACATCAAGCGCCGTGCGGAATTTGCCCATCCCTTCGGGCTTTGAATTGGTTGTTCCTGAGCGTTGTTTTGCTGCTTTTGCCTTCCTGCTCAGCTTCTCGGCGGCGAGCCTCCCCTGGGCGGCCAGTTCTTCTTCATTCTCGTCCTCGGTGTCATCCTCGTCTTCTGTATCCGAATCGTCATCGCCGTCGAGGTACACGCCCCATTCGCGGTCATCCAATCGCAAATTCCCCAGCTCATTTGTTCTGACAATACTCGCGCTGAACCATGATGTGTTGGAGTCGAAATACTTTTCATCACTTAGAATCATCTTCTCGAATTGCTGCAAAACAGCCCTGAGATTGCTCTGTGCAACTTCCAGGTCACCTCGGTCTGGCTTCTCGTCCGGTTCCATCCATTCCAGGCCGACGAGGTAGGAGCCCTGGTAATCGCCCTGGGCATTTTGGGGGTCGCACGTGGATGCGTCGACAAATCTCGCGGGCCAGATTCTCGCCGAAAGCTGCGGGATTCTCCTATTAATATCTGTAGGTATCGTCAGCAAACGAACAGCACTCAAAATGGGGGTTCAGGGCTCACAGACTACTTACCCACGAGAAGAGAGGCACATCGAGACTCCAACCAGCCAATGAGCCTACTTCCACGCTCTAGAGATGCTCCCCAGTAATGTACACGCAAATCTACAAATGAACGGTACGACGTGAGGAAATTCGCGGCGCTAGGCGTCATGACGTTGCCTCGACCGGGTTCTGGCACCGGTAGCAACGATTCCCAGGTTGCACCGTCAGCTGACAGCAACTTGTTAGCTTGGCGGAGTTCTGTCGAGATAATCTTGACGGTCGGAACGGAGGCGTTGAGTGCCGTATTAAGCGTTGGCGAGTGCCACCCAAGCAAAATCAGGGCTTCTCTACTTGTTCGATGATATCTGAGGTTCTTGTGAAAGAACGGGTCAAATACCATGTCCTTTTGCCAGTCAAACCGCGCATAATGCTCGAAGAATGTCGTAATAATATCAGCGGCAGAGACAGTGCCGCCGTTGTGTACGAGCACCTTGCAAACTTTGACCAACATGACGGTCAAGTGAATGCCTCCGAGATACCCAAACTTGGCAGCGTAGATTCCGCGCGCCTTGGCCCAAGTCTTGATAGCCTGGTGGCTCAATCGGAACTGGGCCAAGTCTGGAATGGATCGCTGGAGATAGAAAAGATCCCTCGCGGGCTTCAGCTTCAACAGTGTCTGGGCAGACAAGCTGAAGGCCGGATCTGACGCGGGACGCTTCAGAACGTCAGGCCACTCGTCCGCGATGTTGGGTGCCTGGCAATACTGGAGATCACATCTCACGCCGAGAACCTCCACCTCAAGCATTGTGCCGGTCTTGGCTTTGACTTTCCTCAGAAGCCGAACACCAGGGATGCCCGATTTTCTCAGCCTTTGCCTTGCCAGAGTGAAGAAGACACGTGGACTGATGGACCCGAGGAAGAAGCAGTCGATATCGGAGTTCCTGGACCACGTGCCGAGACCATAGGATCCTACGGGGATGAGCACAATCGTCGGGCGGCCTCGTTTGTTGTCCACGAATGTTTGGTCGGACTCGATTAAGATTTGACGAAGCAATCGAATCGCCTCGTTCCGAGCTGCCTCGTCTTCCGCTGAGGGAAACACCCCGAGATTCTCCAGGCACTGAGTTAGTTCTGTGGTATTTGACAAACCGTCTGGCGCTCTCTTCAGATCAAGAGGGATTGCTCGAGCATCACTGGCGGCGTTCTTTGTGTGAGAGCGCTGCAAGAGACAACGAACACCCCAGTGATCACTCGCGTACAGGGGCTCTTCTCCGGTCTCGCTGTCATCAGTGACGAAGCCGAACATGTTGAAGCGAGATATCTGGAAAGGACCAGTGCCTTTAACCAAGATGCGGTCGTACCGTTGCGGACGGTTACCCAACCCGGTACCAACCATCTTACTGGCGTGGGGATTCGCGGCAGGGTCAAAAGTTGCTCCTTGCTCGCCCTCGAACATGTGGTTCAGATCCCCTTTGATGTTATCACTCACGCCAGCCTCGATTCGTGAGACCATCCATACGTCTAGAAGGTCGGCTTTTGCCAGAGATGTTTCGATGCCACGGAGAACATTCTCTGTCTGGACAGCGATGGCCCCCTTTTTGACAGCGGCGTCGAGGGTGTAGGAAGACGTTGTGATATTGAAATCTCCTGCGATGATCCATTGATGTGAGGCGTAGTTGGCCCCGAGGTAACTGAGTAATACCTGGAGTTCTCTATAGATGGCATTTTAGTACACAAAACAGATCAGGCTCAGCGGGATTCTGCAGCTAACCTTTCCTTTGCAACCACGGCGCCGTCTGTCAGGCCATGGCTCAGGTGACAAGTTGCCAGTACTAAAGGGGAAGTAGGTTCCTCTCCCTCACCATGTGCCAAATCACCAAAGCTGATTACGCACGATCCTTTGTGCGGGCGTACGAAGGGAAGATACTCCCATGAAAATGGGTACTTGCTGAGAACCAGGTGATTGAGTATACTGGGCAACGGACCGGCAGTAGGGTCGTCAGGAGACCCGTGGGAGGCATTGGGGTACAACTTGCGAATCCTGTCGTCTTTGAGTAAGAAAGGCAAGAAGTCGTCCGTCACTTCTTGGAGTACTAAGATGTCTGCGACAGCATTTCGTGCGAGTAGGTTGTCAACGATGACGGGGTATCTGCTACGAGATGGGGGCCATTCGAACTCTGCCAAAACGTTCCAGCTGGCGACGATGAGGTTCTCTACTGCCTTGGTCTCTGGGTAATGTAAGTCTGTATTCAAAAAGACTGGTCGCCAACCCAGCTCCTGGCTGGAGAATCTCCATGATCGCTGCGGAAAAATGGCCGAGGCCATTCTAGGGAATAGCCCAAATGAATCATCGGATTGACTCAGTGAAGGTGAAGCGAGGTCGATGAGGCCCCAGAGGCTCATTTGACCGGAAGCAAGACGAACTAGGACGGCTAGTTGGGTGGCTTCCCAACTGACTGGTGGTAGGCGCCGTAGCTTATCGAGGAGAAAGTTGAGTTTAGATGGTCCTGCCGTATCCTCGCACTGAGCAATCGTCATGTGCATGTGGTACGGAGCAGGGCGCGTCTGGCCGATAGCCATGAGAACTGTGGTGCGTAAAGAAGCAAGGCGGCGAGTCCTCTTTTCGTCCTTATCGCTCATAAACAGGGTGCTGCCGTGCTTGTTCTCAAAAAAGTCTGGTGAGTCGAGAGAAAGGGGTATACTAGCGAAGTCGCCGGTCTCCTGACGAGCCTTGAGGCAGCTGACAATGGCATCGCAGGCTTGGTGCAGAGACTCCGAATCTGCAGACCGCACGAATGGGTAGACGAGGTTGATGTGAGGAGGCCATTTGGCATAGGCCTTGTCATTTTGGAAACGAAGTCGGTCAATTGACGGCCACTGTTCCCTTGGAGGAATGAGGCAAAGAGCCGTGTCGTGAGTTGTTGGCATGCCGAACTCCATGGGCGTTAGCTTTGACTACCCGTAGTTTTTAAAAAAGGGTAGATGTTTAAGTGGTATGTAGTTTGATATGCGGTGAGCCTGGGGTGTATGTATCTGGCAATAAAACGGTCGAATGCCCGTGTCGGTCGGTAATGGGACAGATGGGATTATTTATACGAGGATTTTACGTGTACTTGACGATCGAGGTTGCCTGCACGTAATAGAAAGGATAAGACTTGCGATGACCTTTGTATTAGACGGCCTGGGTGAGAAAGTCGGCTCCTCCAGCCAGAGGCAAGGTCCGTGTAAGTGTAAGTGTGTATCTGTAGTTGTGCAGGCTGAGCCCGTTATGGGAATTGCATCAAACCAACCCCCGGCCGCATGCCACTGGTGTGTTCGGTATTGAACGAGACTAGACACCCCTGCAGTTCTACGATAGGTAGCTTCCCCAATTACGGAGTACTGTGGGAATGTCTTCATTCAGCAACCTGGGTTGAGGCTAAGTAAGGTAATTGCGGGGAGTGGGAGTCACTGGCCGAGTGTGTCACTGCGTCAGTCTCGTCCCGCTTTCCAGTCACCTCTACCGTGTATCCGTTCGCCGAGACTTTTGATCTCCACGCCTTGACAAGGAGGTAAGCATACGGTTTGATCCACGTCGACGGAGCGAAAAAAAAAATTAAAAACTGGGATCGCGTGTTTGCCCATGTCCTGTATTCGGAAGGGCCTACTGCAATACGAGGCGCAGGTCTGGGGCGATGCGGGGCAGTGACTCACTGTGGTCGGTTGTTCCATCTGAAAGAGGCAAACTGCATGGGACCCTGCCAATCGCCAATTGCCTTCTTGGAGGCTCATTCTCTGACTACCACACTTTTGTTGCTCGCGTAAGGTAGTAATGCTTTGTCGTCAGCTTCGTGCTTGGCGTCGAATGAGACTCATATCAGCTACCTAGATACCAGAGTAAGTAAGACCTTGCCAAGTGACGCACTTACTACTATGATCTTCACGGGGTACGGCCTACCGAGAATTGTAAACGCGGGCATCATCCGACTAATTAGCTACTCAGTCAAAACCGATCTCATGTCACCATTGATGTCTTTCTTTTACCCGTTTACCTCCCGTTTTTCTCTCTCACTTTTTGCCTTCTGCCAGTAAAATCATGTGCACATCCAGTCTCAAATCATATCCAAAGACGCCTAGTCTGAAAGTGCCATATAAAGATTGGCATCGGCATCTGTTATTAGGTTTTGATTTTGAGCTACTCGGTTTTGCTTCAATGTTCGAAGAGAGCCATTACAGATCAGTCATTCTCGGGTAAGGCAGTGCACCATCTCCATATGGCTCAAATGCCAAGTTTGGGTATCATCAATCACACCAAAATCCCACTCCGTTCCTCGGCCAAGCGAGATATCATGCGTCACGTCTCCTGCGAGAGCCTCAACCGGTGTGTTCCTCAAGCTCGGGTCCAGTCCCTCCCCAGTCGATGGACGCTACGCCCTTGCCCTTGCCCTCCATGAGTGCCTCCAACTTGTCCTCGCTCGTCACGTAGGCCCCGTTCTGCCTCTTCTGCGCCATAGCATACTTGATCGAGTCTCTCCACTCCTGCAAGAAACATCGTCAATAACTCAAGGTTGACAATAATCGCGGCCGCGGGTTCCGGAAGGGCACTGAAACGTCATTAGGGAAGCTTCACTTACCCGCCACCACACTTCTTCACTCTGCACCATGCACCTCCGGCCCTCCTCGCCGTTCCTGGCCGTCGCAAAGGGCCACACTGACTGCACCACTTCGTACTTGTGCTTGCTGGTAAAAAGGTTCTTCATGCCCATGTAGAGCTTGCTCGGCTTCTCAGCACTCTTGACCTTGACCTTGGCATGTGTCACGGGAAACGAGATATTGATCTGCCCTTTGTACTGAGTCGAGGCGATCAAACTACGGATCTGACCTTCAATGTAAAGCGTGTCTAGATTGGCAACAACTCGTTCGAGTGCTTCAAGGTAAGGGCTTCATGTTAGCAATGTTTCAACCAAACGCATACCGTGTAACGCAAGGCGAACTCACCGAAACTTTTGACCGGCGCCGGATCCTCAATGAATCTGCGACACCACTCATCTAGCTCTCTGTCACCCACCTCGGGGAGGACATCGGGCTTGGCGCCGCCACGGAACGCGACCTCGCCCGGCGCAACACACCGAATGTAGTCCAGACGCTTACTCATGTCGTCTGCCACCAGCAGGCCCATCAGGTTCATTTTGAAGTCAAAATCAACAGTGCGACCACGATTGCCTTTGATATGTATCAACGGCTTGGGTGGGATGCTCGCCTGGGACCTAATTAGCCCTATCAGCGCGCTAGCGCTCGCTGTCAGATACTCTGCCTTGGACGATAGGGTGGTACAATCGGGCGATAGGGTGAAATTTGGAGGTGAGTAAAGTTTGTAGTCCAGCCTGGGTAGACCGGTATAATTGTGAATTCCGTGTATCCCTTGGAAATCGTGCGAGACGGACGTCTCCGAGCAATTGGAGGGGCTCGAATATGGCGGGGGTTCCGAGGTACTGGCGCTGTCGGCTGTCAAGTCATCATCATTAGAACGACTTGCCAGCAATGCCTTTTCTATTACAATAGAGGACGATGCTGCGTTCATGCTGGATGTCGTCGGCATCGGTGCCGGAGTAGGCGGCAGCGGCGGCGATGCTCTCATTGTCATTGGGGGCAGCGGCAATGGTGGAAGCTCTGCTGGCAACTCCGAGGGGCCCGAAAAATCCGTTGGGAGCGCTGGTAGTGACCGAGAGTGCAACACCACTGACCGCCCATCACTCAGCATTGAAGCCATCGTCAAATCTTGTGTAGTGTTGAAATGGCTTGCGGGCGTGAGTTGGAACAAGGCGTAACCTGGTCACTCACTCAGCGAAATCGGACGAACTGTAGAAGGTGGTCGATTATGTGGCAGTGGTTGAACAAGTCGAAGCCAATGTAGCGTAATTAGAGACTATTCGGAACTGTTTTACAGAGGCAGAGATACGAAGAAGAAGGAGAAGAAGAAGAAGAAGAAGAAGAGAAGACTAAGGGGTAGAATAATCAAGTGGTAAAGAGAGGGGGGAATTGTGACGAAGAGACCTGCATGGTCATCAGTTTCCCTCTCTGAATACAAAAGTAGCCCGCACCGGGCCTCACTATTAAGTATTACCCTAGTGTCAGAACCTGACCAGAGGTGAAGACCAAAGTCCCTGAAAAAACGAAATCACCTCAGAAATGTCAGACTGGGGCTTGAATTAGGCACCACCATTCTTCTCCAGCCCCCATGCCGCGGCGGAGTGCGAATGGAGCTTGCCCCTGCCTGCCGCATGCATCAGCCACGGCTCACGGTCCTCGGCTGGCCCTGGGTGCCTGGATAGTGGATGGCCGCACATGTATCCGCGTAACCGTATGAATATCTACACTACCCTAATGTATCCGTACGGAATCCTATCTTTCCATTGGACCTCGGGACGTCAGCACCAAGCCGCTTTTGGCTTCAGTGTGCCTCGAAGGATCATCACCAACAGCCCCATCTCATCACAAAGAATGGAAGTCCGGCTCCGAACCTGCGAATCGCCTTCCCCACCCTCGTCCTACTGCCTTTAAGGCAAACCAAAAATGATAACAGACCTTGGAGCCGACTGCACAGTCGGGATTTCTCACCCCGATCCTCAGCCGGGGAGGTTAATCCATACCATAGTATACAGAGCCGCAACACAAAGCCACAAAACAATAATCACGGAAGCGCGGCAGCTGTCTACAGGAGCACAACTCGAAGGCGCTAGTATTCGTCATTGCCATCGTTGCGATGCGTATGCCTATTAACCGAGGTGATGCCAATATCGCTATCCCCTCAACCCAACGCCGAGTAGAAACGCCCTCAGATGCCCAAATTGTGTTGAGGCACCGCCTGATCCGCTTGATGATCGAGGTAAGGTAGTACGCATGCCATGCTCAATCCACCAACGCCCAGGTAACCGAATTCTCAGAAATAATGCCAAACAGTCCTCGTCTCGTACAGTCACTCACGGGCATGATTCGTCCATCTGCCGACTTTAGACGAGCTGGAAGCCATCTTCTTCCGAGACGCGGCCGCCTTCCTGGCGTAGGTTTTGACGAGCCTTGCGGCCCTTGAGAACCTGACCATTCTCGTTAAGAATTTCGTACTCTTTCTCCACCATACGCTCCGTCTCGCGACCCGTCGCCGTCTTGACAAAGATGTCCAGAGTCATTGGTCGGCCGGGGCTGTCAACCCGGTCAAAGCTGTACTTCCAGTCCTCGGTGGCGGAGATGTCTCCATACAAGTCTTGCGATGGCGCCATGTTCATGACGGAGCGGCTGAGAGGATCCTTGATCTGTTCCTTGGCGCGAGCTGCCGAGCGCAGCCGTCCTTGCGGGAATTCCGCGTGTGACCGGAACTTGCTAAAGTTCTGCATATGCTTCTTGTAGTGAGAACTATTGCGAGTATTAGGTGTGCTGCTAGAATGGACAGTTACAAGCATCCAAGGGAAAACGTACGTCTCACTATTCCTGACCCGAGGCCGTGCCATGGCTCGCTGCTGCTCGGTTCCGCCAACAGCTTCAAGAGTGTACCAGTCAAGATGGCAGCCGGCCAGAGGACGGGCTCCGTTGGACCACTTGGACCGTGAATCCTTTGACCTTTTGAAATCCTGGTTGGCGCTTCGCAGGTCGCGTTCGAACTGGGCCGGAGATTCGATCGAGGCGGTCATGGTGTCTAGGTTGACCGAGCACGGTATGTTGAGGAGGAAGGTTGCGATGAAGTGTCGATACTCGTGATAGGTAAGCAGTTGTCAAACCGCTTTGCGCCTTGGGTGAAGGTAACGTTTGCCTGGCTGGAGGGAGCCTCGAGTATAGAGTAGGTGTCGAAAGAGTTCGGAGAAGGGGTTGGAAGACAAGTAGATATAGTCGACGCAAAGGCAAGTGAAAGAGCAGTGTGCGCTTCGGTCCCCGGCTTGGGGGAGGTGGCTACCTAGTAGACTGAGGCCAAAGGAAGGAGGAGGGTTCGGGCAGTACGAGGCAGGTTGGATGAGGTAACCACTCCAAGGCAGAGTGGCCGGGTGAGTCACCGGACAAAGCTGAAGGGCTGCGTTGCCGAGGATAACAACAAGGATTCGAGACGGAAGGTAGCGTCAAGATACAGTTTTGGACGGACGCAACTAATGTCGAATAAGGCACAGGGTGGGATGGGCATACAGATGCAGATGTTTGTAGTAAGGTAGAACCAGGCTCGTGATGGAGAGGTCGGAAACAGACGAGAAGAGGTAGAGAAAGACGGGGTTCATGTGGACAAAGGTCGTGGGATGGCGGATGTGATATAGTTGGCAATGGTCAGCAAGGCACCTCGAGGTAAGGCAAGGAAGGCAGATAAGGCGATGCGAGGTGAGGTAGGGCGAGCCACAGTGCGCATGATTCAAAAGAGGATGGGGGAGGCGCGCGTGTCCTAGAGACGAAGGTAAGGTGGGATCTGGAGACTGGAGACTGGAGACTGGAACCAAGCTTGCCAGGCTGTGTTCCAACTTCAGATGAGACGGAAAGGGCGTGACGGAGTGGGCTGGTCGCGACGCAGGCACGCCAGAGGCTGTAAAGGAAGGACCAGGCGCGAGCAAGATGATGTAGGTAGGTATGCGAGATGAGTGTCAGACGGGCTGGTGGTGGCCTCTTGACCGGGAAGGGGGCTCATCGTCTCGGCTTAGCGAACAGACGGGCGATAAAGCTGGATGATAGTGCAGTCGATACGTTCCTTACCTAGATACGGTCCATGATAAAGCTCGGGGCGTGTGGAAGCGATAGCTGGGTTGGAGGGGGGGTGTACCTTGACATAACATGGAATCTGTTGATGATGGCCTTTAGCCCAAGGTACCGCAGTAACTACGGATAGGAACGGATAAGGTATGACGAATCGCAAATTCAGTTGTTGGGGACTGCAAGTCTGCGTGTGCTGCAGAATGCAGAATGTACAGAGTCAAATGCAGATATACTTCTCCCCGTCTCTGCTGCACTTTCTCCTGCTTTAGGCCAAAACTCGTGGTTTCTTCCAATCAGAGGGATTCCGGAAGGGGCGTGGCGTGGGGAGGACACTGCGACAGTCATTTGGCGTTGCAGACTGGTGGACTGGAAAGAGTCACCCGGTCTCGCCATCCCCCCCACCCTTTGGTGTCGCCGGCTGCCACCGCCAGCTGTCTCGGGGTCCCTCAATAATAGAGAAAGGCCTTGTTCTGACCTGTTCGCAACTACCTACTTTTACTGGCTGATGTCATTCAATGCATGTGGCGTGCTCGCAAAATGACGACAAATGCCGTGTTCAACTTGCAACATGCACACTGCGACACCCGAGGTACGATAAGGTCCTCATCCTTCACGAACCCCACCATCGTCAGCTAACCAACTAACGTAGCCTGCCTTTTGAAGTGCTATGCGCCTGGCTTTGGCGATTTGCCATTGGGTGAGATCGGCCATCTTGCCGCTGGTGGGCTGCCAACTCAGCTTGGTTGTGGTTGCTCAGGTCATATGGCCTCCCTCACTCGCACCCTCCTTCTCCATTGACTAAGTAAGTACATAGGCAACTGTTATCACGATAGTAACCACCTTCTCTCTCCACCTCAGTTTAAGTAGGTATTTGGGTAGAAGTTGCAGGTTTCCTGCCATGGAACGGTCAATACCGTCTCCCTACCTTACTTCAACAGCCTTGGGCGTGACTATTGATCGCCTTTGCTTGCTTTGCCGGAGAAATGATATCACCGGGTCAGGAGGACGTCACGGTCAATTTGAAACGCGGCTGGAGTCGCCATCAGCCTGTTCGAAGTTGTCCAACTGCAAATGCCTACGAGAAATCGAGGAGATTACCTTATGGACATGGTCATGGTTAGGAAATGCAGTCAAGAAGTCTGAAGTGCAAGATGCTACAGAGTCGCTTTTGCAATAATTGTTCCTCCCGCATCCCAGAACAGGTTGTGCATCTGCCTGGGTGGTTATCTCACACTCTCAAGTCGATGTTGTTCTCGATGTCCCATTCATCCCAAGTCTATCCGTTTGTTTACGCAGTGTGGCAAACATCCACAGACCCGTACGTACATACACCCGTACACCCGTACACCCGTACATCCGTAGCCCCATGGACCCGTGGACTGGGCGGGACCCTCGTGAACGCCTCGGACCCCACGGCACCTGCTCCTCCTCCCGGCTCGTGCTCGGGCTTAGTCAGAAGACTTGGCGCTCGGCGCACGAGCCAGTCGACATTCCACCGCAATGCCCGGGACGGGCCCGACCTCCACTTGCATACCTTAAGGTACCTTACCTGACTACTCCGTACCTTAGTACCTATTACCTGTCGGCTGTGGACACTGCTGTGGCCTGCCAGCTGCTCACGGGCCCATCCCATGAAACCTCGACACTTGCAAGTTCTCTCGCACTGAGCGTCCTTCGGCTTGGCAACCATCACTAATGTTCGGTAACGTGGCGTCTGAACAATTGGAAAGAAGATAACACACCAGGAAGCAGAGTGCAAAGGACGAAAGCCTCCGCCATTGGCAGCATCTAGACCGTGCATGCTAAGATGTGCGACCTCTCCATTTGCAGTGGTCAGTAGCGTATAATGCAACTCATCGAGTTCCTCAATAGCTGGAACGTTCTGTCGTATCCTAGGCCCCGGCACCCTTTCTCTCCGTCGCCGACGAGCCATGGTTGGGTCAGGGTATTCCCCGTTCTAGCTGCATGATTCAGGTCGGGATGGCTTGACATAACCTTATTCCCCGCCGTACCTGACTTCAGCATACGGATACCGAGTCGAGGACGATACCAGAGAGCGATGGAGATGCGCGACGTCTGAGCAGTCAGTTCACTGCCATCTTGGTCAACGCCCACGATGGATCGTGCTACCGGGATGGCCGGGGAACCAACTGTTGTGGCCCTTCAGACCTCGGTGCGCGCATCTCAAGGCCATCCTTAATCGTCTACGGGTACAACATCGAGCAACATGCAGAGCACAGCCAATCCCCACGATCCTACCCGTCACTCTAAAGTCTCAGGGGCCCATCGTATCCGTCTTTCTGAACAACATGCAGTTACTACACGGGCGCTGCTGGCCGACTGCCCCCTCTCATGGTCGAGACCCTTACGTCTCAGCTCAACGAACTTGACCAAGTATGAACCGAGCCTTGTTGTCTTAATATTGACTGCATTTATTCGGCTATCATATCGAGGCCTCAAAGTAATAGGGTTCTGGCTCCTACCGCAGTAAATTTGCTCAAGGTACTGCCAAGTACGCCTTCGAGCTAGTGCTCTGTCCTTCCCACTTCCTGTCTATTTTTTGCCTTCGTCCCGGGGCAAATCCCGACCTAGTGCGGCAAAGATCCACGCTAACCACACTTGCGAGATGCATGGCAAATGAAGGAGCGTGGGAGCCGTCGGACAATTTTGCTGCTGGAGATCTTCCTTCTCGCGGATACGAGGACAAAGAAGAGCACAACAGAAGGCTACAACGGTAACTTTGCAGATGTCCATTACCTAGTAGGTTGCATTGTCAACCGATTTACAGCCACTCGCCTATCCGCTCGACCCATCAACGTACCCATGGGCTCATTCACCGAAGAACTCAAGGAACGCCTCAACTCTATACACCACGCGAGTACCACCCAGACGCCGGGTATGGTTAGAAGTAAGCTACCAAGATGTTAAATCGAGCCCCATTCTTTCTTCCTGTGTTTCGAACTGTCTTGTTTCGAATCTTCTTGGCCCACCGTCTGTTGGTTTGTTAGTGGCTTCTTTCACCCTTGTTCACACCTCTACCAGCTATACCTGGCCCGGCGATTCTTTGATCTCATCTGAACGTCAATTAGCTGACCGATGTCAAGCTCCAAACAAACAAAGGAACGGCTGTATCTTCAACCGCATCATCCGCTCATGTCTTTCAATCTTAACGGTTACACAGAGCGGTTTTTAAACTTTGTCTCGACGATGAACGCCACTCCCAAATGTTCGGGCGCTGGCAGGCACAATGTCGCGTCCCACGATCCTCGGTCGAGTGTCGTCTTTCCTTGGCCTCGGTTCATCTCCACAAACTCATTACACCTGAGAACTGAAGGCTCTATGATGCCTTTGCCAACGAGGCTGACTTAGTGTGTTCTTGGCCCTCCAAGTGGCAGGTTGAGCTTCCATGCTTTGTCCATCGCACAAGGTCCCTAGGGGGGTTGCTCGTCCGGTACTGGCTCCACATAGGATGGATCGCCGTCCGAGCCACTGACCAGCCGCTTATTCTGTGAACCCAGGATGTGTTGTTGGGTGATACGGTAGCTTTTCAGGTATACACTCCCGGCTAGTTTCTTGACATCCACAAGCGTGTGGTCGAACAAACCTCCTCGGCGCCACCATCTAGGTGGATTTCGAGGCAGTTGCTACAATGGCGTGGTCAAGTTGTATATATGTCTCTCACGAGTCTCTTCCTTCAATCCTGATTCCCTCTTGCCTTTATCTTCATCACCTTCCCTTGTCTCCAAGTCTTTACATCTCTTCTTGCTTGAGAGGCATCGTTTCATAGACGACATAGCGGACGGGCTGAGCATCGCCACCATGTCTCCTGCCAACAGATTCCTTGGGCTCTTCGGCCTTGCAGCAACTGCACAGGCAGCATGCTCTAACTTCATGGTGGACGACTTTTCGAGATCATCCGTTGGAGGAGTCAACAAGCTCAATTCGTGGACTAGTGACGACGATTCCATGTCAAAGATCGCCATCAGCAACGGAGCACTTACCTTCACTCCCAAAGCCGATACCACTTCATACTTCTATGAGACCCTGGGGTGCGTTAAAGCAGTTACCAAGGGCTACAAGGCCTTGTCGCTGTCTATTACTGGGCCCAAAGACGCTTCCATGTTGCTAGAAATCCAGTCAAGAGCATCATGTAGCGACAACACGTACAAGAGCCAATGGGTCACCATCTCGGGGCTCACTGGCTCACAGCAAACCGTTACCATCTCTCTATCTTCATTTACGGAGGCAAACCTGGACGCTATCACCGGATTTGTCTGGTCCACATACTCGCAATTCTCCTCGTATTCATTCGACAACTTGCAGTTCCTGTGCAATGATGCTACCAGTCCATCTGCTCCAGCAACACCGGTTTCAAGCAGCTCTCAGTCCAGCTCCATTCTTTCGGGTGCTACAACTCGCACTTCAGTATCATCCACATCCGGAACGGTACGAGCTGCAAGCACGGCATCGAGTACCGGCCCATCCTCCTTCTCGACGTCAGCCAGGTCATCAGGTGCCTCTCAGAGTGCTACCTCGCCCGCGGCAAACTCCCAGGCCAGCAGTACATCTTCAGTAGCTTCAAGTGTCCGCTCATCATCCTCGTCTATCTCTTCTGTCAGGGCGTCAACTACCTCCAGCTCCACCACTTCCCAGTTGTCACCTGCTTCGTCGAGCTGCAGCAATCTTCTCATCGACGATTGGGAGTCCCAGTCACGGCTGACATTCCTCTTCTACAATGCCATGCTTCAGCCAAGCAGCGATGACGGTACTATGAAGAGCATCTCTGTGAGCGGTAACAGGGTCACCTTGTCAGCAAACAATAAGGACTCTTATTTCTACAGCAAGACTGCCTGCACAAATGCCAAGACGCAGACTTATGGTGGTATCTCTCTGCGCATCAAGGCCACCAAGGGTACGACATTCCAAGTCCAGATGGCATCGCCGGCGACATGTGGCGGTGACGATACAGTCTTTGGCTTTCAGTCCACAGCTGATCTCGGATGGACATTCGACGGCACCGAAAAGCTATATAGCTTTCCCTTCTCCAAGTTCCCTTCCATCGACCAGTCCAAGGTATCCTCAATTTTATTCGGCTCACTATCAGGGGCTGTGACTTTTGGTCCCATGGCCTTCTACTGCGGAAGCACACCCTCTGAGTATATCGTCAAGACTCAGCCGTCTGTTTCTGCTACAGCTTCGACTGTCCCTGCGCCCAGCGCCACGGTTCCGGCCAAGGTCATTGACAACTTTGCAAGCCAGAGCCAAAACGCCCTCGGATTCTGGCATGGAGGTGATGTCGACACTGCAGCAAAGTGGACCAAGGGAAAGGTCGTTATCAAGGCACCGGACGCCGACTACTCCTACTACACGCAATTCGGAGATGGGTGCACCGACATGACCATGTATGATGGTTCTTACTTGCACGTTGCCTACTCGGGAAGCAATAAATTCACCATTACTATGCAGCAGCACAACACGCAATGCAGCGATACTGTAGCACCTTTCCCCGAGACCTGGGATTCGTTGGAGGCGGCTCGCTATGCCACCGGCAACGACATCTACATTCCCATTTCCCATTTCAATATCGTACGCAAGCGTGCCGTTGGCCTGGCTTTCAAGGGCTTCTACACCAACGAGGCGGTGACTTTGACCAAAGTCGAAATCGTCTCGTCTGTCCCCGCCAATACGCTTATCCCAAACAAGCTGCCCAGTGGTAACCTGGTCTTTGCTTGCAAGCGACCCAATTCGATTGCCTTTGCCATCGATGACGGTGACCCGAAGTACGCCCAGGAGGTCATGGAGGTTATCAGGTCGGAGAACATCAAGGTCACCTTCTTCACCGTCGGTGCTCCCTTGAGAGACCCCTCTACGAATCTGAGCACCATCTATCAGGACATGATGAAGGAAGGCCACCAGATGGCCCTTCATAGCTACACCCACCCTAGAATGGAGGGGCTCCCCAACAATGACGCTATTATGTGGGAGTATAGCCAGGATATTGCCGCTGTCAAGGAGCAGTTTGGCATCACAACCAAGTACTTCCGTCCTCCTTTCGGTAACGAGGGCGCTCGTATGAGACAGCAGCTGGTTGCGGCGACGCAAAGCAACAACCCCTACATTGTGAACTGGAACATCGATGTCGAGGACTGGCTCTATGCCCAGTCCGACACTCCCGAGCAGCAGAAGGTGTCTTTCAAGCGCGACCTGGACAAGGGCGGCAGTCTCGTTGTTATGCACTATTTGTACCCTAGTACTGTCAGCTATCTGAGGGACTTCATCAAGATGGCCAAGGCCACGGGAAAGCAGCTCATGCGGGTAGATCAGTGCATGGAGGACCCTGATGCACCTCCGTTATAGTAGATAGGACGGGATGTTCACTGTATAATAATTAAAATAGCTACATATGGGATGAGATGGGGGCATATAGAGATTCAGGCAACTTTTAATTCACGTTATTCGAAGACATACTATATTACTAGCCTTTCACCTTTCTCTCGTAATTATTACTCGTTCTTATTTTACCTATAAAATTAAATACGCTAAATTACTAAGTATTTATTTAATTATTCTATCTTTACTAGCTACTTAGGTAATTCTTAATATTATTTATATAGTATTAATATATAGTATTAATAAATACTTTTATTATTTTAATAAATTATTTTTTTAAGGTTTTAACTTTTTTAACTTTACTTTTTATAAAATTTATAACTACGAATAATAATTAATAATAAATAGTATTAATATATAATATTAATAAATACTCTTATTATTTTTTAAAAAAAATTGTTTTTTTATTTTTCCTTTTTATTTTATTTTTTTTAATTTAATTAAATACTTACGTAATTCTTAATATTATTTATATAATATTTATATATAATAATAATAAATACTTTTATTATTTTAATAAATTATTTTTTAAGTTTATTTTACTCTTTTAACTTTCTTTTTTATTATAGCACTAGGTACTAGGCCCCTATATACTCGGGCCTTAAGTACTAAATAGACCCCCTATAAGTTATATAACTACTAAATTACTAAGCCTAAAAACCTAGCGCCCTAGATTCTACTTACTAATCTACTTTTTTCCCTCCTTATATTAAATTATATTTATTAAATTAATATAAATAGCGTTCTAACTTACCTTAAGTTCTTTTTTATAATACTACTTAACGTCATTTATAACCTTTATTTTTTAAAAATAAAACGATAATATCTTAACTTATTAAACTTATTATAATAAATAATTATTCTTATTAAAAAAAAAAGCATAATACTAAGTAATAACTAACTAATTAACTACGTAAAATAATTAATACCCCTTAAATATATATACCCCCTTTACTAAATATTATAATTTAAAATAAAAATTAAAGAGGATAAATATCCTTTTATATTAATAACTTTTAATAAGGCTATTACTTATATAAATAGTATTAAAATATTATAAATATTAATAAAAACGCCGAGCTCCTTATATTTAACCCTAAGGTTAATTTTTATTAACTAGCTTATTAAATAACTTTTATCTTTTATGATATAAAATAATTAACTTAATTTCTTTTATTATATTATTAATAAGCTTACGTCTTTTATTTAGATTTATAATAAGGGACTATTTAATAATATTAAATAATATAACACTAACTTTAAGTTTATTTAAAACTTATATAATTAAAATAAAAGCGCTACCCTTTATATTTAAATTAAGAGCTAATTAAAAATATATATTACTTAGTATTAACTTAAATAAATACTAGTTTTTATAATTAAATAACTAAGTAATAATACTAAGTAGCTTTATAAAATAACTAAAAAAAATATTAAAATTATTAATAGAGCTATTATAAAGCTTTAAAATATTAAAAAATAGTTAAATAAAACCCTCTATATTAATACTACGCTTAATAAATATATTAAATAACTAAAAAACAATTCTATATTTAATATTAATAATAATAAATATAATAATAATAATAAAGCCTACCGCGCGCTTAAATAGTATTTTACTTAACTTAAAATATAAAATAGCTATAAGGGTACCCTAGCTTTAGTATATTAATTTATTTCTAAATTAAATAAAATACTTAACGTCCTTATTTTTATAAATAATAATAATAATAAGGGCCTAAAGTTCCCTTATTAACTTTAATATATTATTAAGCGCTTTAAAAATACGAATTTTAATATTAATAACTATTATTTAAAATATATTATTAATAAAATTAGTAATATTATAATTAAATTTATTTACCTTATACTAACTTTTAATAAGATTATTATAATAAACTAATTATTTTATAAGCTTAAATTAGCTTATATTAACTTTATTATTATAAATAACGTTAATTAAAAATTAAATACTCTCTTTATTATACTAAAAAATATTTACTAAAAACGCTCTATTTTTATTAAGCTTGCTTATATTAATAAGCTCCCTAAGTCTTAATAAAAGCGCCGCTTTTATAATAAGCTCCCTATTTATTTTTAGAACTAGGCCGTCTTTAAATACTAAAATAAGGACGCTATTTTTTAAAAATATATAAAATATATTACTTAGCTCGTATTATAAAAGGGAACTCGAGGTAAGTTAAAACGCTATTTATATTAACTTAATAAACATAACTTAATATAAAAAAAAAAAAAAATAGATTAATAAATAAAATCTAGGGTACTAAGTTTTTAGGCCTAGTAGTTTAATAATTATATAATTTATAAAAGGTCCGCTAAGTACTTAAGGCCCGGGCTTATAGGGGCTTATTACTTAGTATTATAATATTACCCCCCCCTCTTAGCGCGAGAAACGCTATTTATAATACTTAATTATTTATTTATATTCTTATAATTATTTCTTTATAAACTATTAAAATCTAATTAATTATTTATTACTTTTTTTTATTATATTATTAACTAATAAAGCCTAATATTTAATTTTTTTATAAATATTAATAAAATAAAAATTAATATTAATATAGCTCCGATTTATTAAGTACTAAATAATAAAACTATTATAAACTAAAGCTTATTTTTAAAAAGTCCGTTATAAATTATATAGGGTATTAATAATTCGGGTATTATTATTAATATCCTTTATATTATTATTATAAATAAAAAAATACTAACCTCGTTATATATTTTTAATTATTATAATAGCCTAGGTATACTAGTTTTTTATTATATTACTTTTTTAATTATTATTCCTTAGATCTTCCTTTTTAACTTAGTTCTTTAATAGGGCGTTAAATAGTATAATTTTATAATTATTAATAATTAAAGCTTATAAGAAAATAATAAGGATATTATAATTATTTACGTTAACTAAGTAGTTATAGTACGAATTATAGATCTTATTATTAATAAACAATATTTCTTAATAATAAACATAGGGGCCTCCGTTATATTAAAAGGTTTTAAAATAATTAATTATATTTAATGCTAATAATAATAAGTCGAAGTAGTATATTATAATAATTATTATTAATTATTAATATAAAAAAAATTCTTTATTAATTTCTAAAACTAGTTAAATCGTTAATAAAATATATAATATTATAAAATAAAAAATTAATTTCTAAATAATAATCTTAAATTCGTTAATAATAGCTTTTTAATTAAGCTATAAAAAAAAAAGTTTAATAAGTCCTTTAGGTATTTATTAATAAATTTATTATAATAAGAGTTATTATAGTATTATTATTAGTATATAATAAAGCTAAGTTATTATTAATTACTATTTTTATTTATAATAAAAAGTTCTATAATAGTTTTATAGTTATAAAGTATTATTTATAAAAAGCTTATAGCGCTACTAAAGCGTAATAAAAGCTCTTAATATTATATTATATTAAGTTATTATTATACCCTTTTTAATTAGCTTAATATTATAGT